GGCGGTGTCTCACCCCCGTGCCTCGGTAAGCACGTAAAGCCGTTGGTCCTGCGCCTGATCTCTCTCAGGTCGTGTCGATTTACCGTCCCAACGGACTATGATAGTGAAGGAATAGATAGCACACCTGTGCATGCGTATACACTTGGGCACTATAATACTGTCCTGCGCCGATGGCTAGTCTCCGTTGAGGCTGGCCGCCGTAACTGAAGTTTGGTCTGGATATTATTATAATTTACATTTACAAGTTAGATTAACAAAGGTAAAGTACCTATAAACAATGGTTTTTGGACTATGAACAGAGACTCTGGTGTGTGTACTAGCAAAGCCTATATTTTTTATAGGATAGGGTGACACACGAACACACTCCACCTGATAGTAAGTGGTTGATGTGACATCTACATTTATTGAGAATATATTATAAAGAATCAAAATGCAGATGCGTCGACATCCGTGAGGACTAAGATGGAATGCCTCTTTTCCAGTAAAATAGGAATGTTAAGGGATTTATCCAATAATAAAACTATATGTATACACATATAACTATATGTATAACACATCTATCGGAAGCCATAAGATTTATCTGGTCGCCTCTTACGATACCAACGGGATTAAATAAGGAAATGGTTTTTTATAGAATAAGGGCATAGGCATCTACTACATTTATCCTCGATTACGAATCAAAATGCGAAGATGCGTTGTCACCCCTGCAGTCTAAGAATGAATGCCTCATTTACCAAAAAAAAAACTCCGGTTTTCAATTCTCACCACACGAACACAGCAGCATTAAGCTGGTATTTTACGCTTATCTTCTGTGCGAACGTGGTCATATTATATGCTACTTTTCTGCCGACTTCCAAAAAGGAGACGGTACTCAATTCGACGCGTATGTTTTCTTTTATGTGTTTTACCTTATAACTTTTTACTGGGTGGACCGATTTCGATGATTCTTCTTTTATATGAAAGCTGATGCTTCTCTTGTGGTCCCATATGAATTTGATCAAGGTCAGACAAGGTCAATAGTTTTTGAGTTATTTGAGTTTTTCTTAATAACTTATATTGAAGTCGGCTGTTCAAAATTTTTAATTTTAAATTATTTTATACTTACTTACTTACTTATCTTCACGCACAATCCCTGACGGGGTAGCCAGAGAGAACAGATCGCCAAGAGTCACGATCCTTACATACCTCTTTCGCTTCTTTCAGATTCATTATCTTCTTCATACATGCACGTCTAGGTATCCGAGTACTCTTGACCCTACCCTCTTCGAGCAATTTGCTCACATGGTCTTCCAAAGTTAGTCTCGGTCTACCTCGACACCTTTTAATATTAACTTTCGCGCTATATATTTTCTTCACCATTCGGTCTTCACTCATTCGCTCAACGTGCCCAAACCACCGAAACACGCCCTTATCAATTTTTGTGATAAGGTCATCTTTCAAACCTGCCATATTGCGAATCTCTTCGTTTCGCTTTCGGTCGGCCATGGTAACGCCGCACATTTTACGAAGAGATCGCATCTCCACTGCATTCAACTTGCTTTTATGCTTCTTCTGGCATACCCAGGTTTCTCTGCCATATAACAAAGTCGGTACCAACACTGCGTTATGTATTGCAAGGCGTGCACTCTTCACTACGCCTTGCCTTTTGACTAACGCAGTCAGGGCACCATTGACTTTGTTCCCGGCAGCGACACGCCTGTCCACATCTAAATCACATCTTCCATCCCGGCTAAAAGCACTCCCCAAGTATACAATTTCATTTACTTGTTCTAGACATTCCTGATTTACCCATATTTCACACTTCGTTCTCTCTTCGTCCCTTTCAAATACCAGAACCTTAGTTTTATTAGCGTTCAAACGGAGACCTTTAATTTCACATTCCTCTTTCATACACGTGACTAATGTCTGCAGTTCTGCCTCTGATGGTGCAATAAGCACTGCATCATCAGCATACAGCAGACAATTTACTTTTATGTCACCCAATTTCACACCCAAACAGCTATCTTTCAGCTTTTGTAAACAGCTGTCGAGATACAGTAGGAACAGCCAGGAAGACATGACACAACCCTGTTTTACGCCCGTTTGGACGCTAAACATGGGTGACAGGTCATGCCCTACCCGCACACAGGCTTTACAGTCACAGTAAATAGACTGCACAGCCCTTAGCAATCGGCCATCCACACCATACCCCGGCAACAGTTCCCACATTTTCTTCCTTACAACCTTATCAAATGCTTTGTCAAGATCCACAAGAGCACAGAAAATCTTCTGGTTAGCAGCCAGAAGCTTTTCCGTGACGGAGAGAAAACATTTGATCCGTGCATCCTCTTCCAGGTCTAAATCCGCATTGTGCCTCCCATAGAAAACTTTCCGATTTCTCTTGCATCCTACGTGTCAAAACCTTCGAGTAAACTTTACTTGCTAAACTGGTCAAGCTGATCGCCCGATAGCACCCGCAGTCAAAATGTGAACCTTTACCTTTATATAAAGGCACAATGACTGCGGATCGCCAATCATCCGGGACATCCCCCGTCCGCCAGCACAAATTGCACAGCAGATGAAAGCTGTCCCAGACGCGAGGCCCACCATACTTGACCATTTCAGCAGTAACTCTGTCTAGTCCCGCAGCCTTACATTTCAAACTTCGAATCGCACGTTCAATCTCTTTCATACTGATGACCTCAGTGTCATCGAGGTCCGGGTCTGGCGTACCAGTCACGGCGTCATCCCCGGATCCCTCACTAAGATCATCACACGCATATATTTCTCTATAAAATTCGCTCCATCGCTGCATGATGTCCGATTTTTCTGAGAGGACGTCATTAGTTCTCGAAAGCATTTTGTTCATTCTTAAGGCCGTCGCACCACTTCGGGTCCTTCGAACCTCTTTCCAGAAGAGTTTGGAGTTCTCCTTAAAGTTATGCGACAACCTTTCATCCGCTTCCATTCTACACCTTTCACGCACTTCTTCAATCAATGCTTTCGTGTGAACTTTCTGCAGCTTATATCTTTCTTTCATCTTCTCTCTCATATCCTTATCATTACTAGAGGCCAAGTAGTCTAACCATGCTTTCTTCTTCTTCTTTACAGCTTCTTTCACTTCATCATTCCACCATGCATCTCTTCTTTTACTACTGCCTCTTTTTATTGTTCCACACACTTCTTCCGCTGCACTTACCATTCCATCCCTAAGGTTCTGCCATGTTCTTTCTACACATTCGTTTCTGCCATCGATGGTGTCAAGCTTTTCGGCTACCCTCGCATGATATTTGTCCCTAGTATCCGCTTCCTGAAGCTTCCAGCTTCGGATGCGACAGACCGACTGTGGTTCTGTCACTGTCGTCCGGTAGCGCCAACCCGCGAACAGACCCCTAAATCTAGTAATCACTAGATAGTGATCCGTTCCAAGGTCAGCACCCCTGAACACTCGCGTATCCATAACCTGTTTTCGCAGTCGGTCATCCACCAGGAACAAATCAATCATACTTCTCTCATTCTTTCTTTCTCTAGTATACATATGGATTTTCTTGTGATTAAACATAGTGTTTGTCACAAGAAGACCCTTTTCTTTGCATACCGCCAGTATAAGCTTGCCAGCATCATTAACCCTTTTATCGCCAAACTTTCCAAGTACCGACTCGTACCCTGGTCGAGCGGTACCAACCCATCCATTCAAATCACCACGTACAACAATTCTTTCGTTTCCCCTAGCCAAATCTAGAACTTCTCTTACATTCTCCCAAAACTCCTCCAGCTCAGCCCTGGACGACGAAGCTACCGGCGCATAAACAGGCAAAAGGAATAACTTCGTCAGTCCCAATTTAAAGCGAACCCAGAGAAGTCTTGAGTTCACAAACTTATATTCAGTCATAACATCGACCAACCGAGAAGACAGCAGCACCCCCACTCCCTGGCAGGCGTTCTCGCTCTCCGGGACTCCGGACCATAGAGCAAACGCCCCGCCAGGGAGCTCTTCAGTACCACTGCCCTTCCGTTCGGTCTCCGACATACACACGACATCTAATTCTCTTTCTTTCATTATTTCGATCAACTTATTCATCTTATCTCTCATGCCTTTCTGCACTCCGTCCTCCACCTTCCGCCGTGTCGGGCTGTGCGTGACGGGTGGCGGTCCCCATCGCCGCTTTGCGCGCTGCATTCCACACCAACGGGGACGAGCTGGTGTGCGTCGCCTTGGGGGGACGCCCTAACCCTCGTTGACATGGGTGCGCAGCTGAGTAGAATTGCAGCCCTGAAAAGGGCTGGCAGGGGTCGCGACGAGCACGCTTCTACAATGACCCCCATTTTTTATTTTAAATTATGTATAAATTATTTTATACATAATTTAAAATAAAAAATTTTGTACAGCCGACTTAAATATAAGTTATTAAGAATAACTCAAAAACTATTGGTCTGACCTTGATTAAATTCACGAGAAGTACCAGCTTTCATATAAAAAAAGAATCATCAAAATCGGTGCACCCAATAAAAAGTTATGAGGTAACACACATAAAAAAATACAAAAAGAAACATACAGTCGATTTGAGTACCGTCTCCTTTTTGGAAGTCGGCAGAAAAAGGGTAAAAGCGAGCACACAACCCAACTGATGGTAAGTGGGTATTGTGGCCCATAAACGTTTATCATCTATCCTCGATTAAGAATCAAAATACATGTCTATAGTATATGCTTATATTTATAATAACCTATTTAATAAATTCACTAAATCAAAGTGTAAATTACGCATGTAAAGACCTCATATTAACTTAATTATACAACACACACACACATCTACAATAGTTTAACTAAAACTATTACCACAGTTTACAGACATATTTATAGACTGTGCTATTACTATTGGCCTGCCATAATCTAAGTTGGTGCCTGAGCCCAGTGTGTAGAGAATTTAAGGACTTAGCACTATATTCACGCGGAATTACACCTCAGGATTCGAATAAGGTAAACCCTTATGGACTTATACTAAAAATATTCCTTGTTGCAGGTATCCTTTGGATCGACATCGCCAGCGCTGAGCGACCGCTCCGAGTTCCCGCTCTTCTGCCGCACCGTGGCTCCCGACTCCTCGCATAATCCCGCCAGGATTGCGTTCATAAGGTAACTTATATACGGCATTATATTGCAGCGACATACAAATGTATATTAACTGAGATAGGAAATATTATTTAGCAGCGTCAATCGTACCCCACCGGCTCCGTAGTTACATGTGGTCTATTTTAATCAGCTCTTAGTAATAAAATCAGGCGTTACTTTTCGGAAATCCATTATGAAAAATAAACAAGAACATAGGCCTCCCCCAAGGAATGCCCCAAAGCACGGTCCTGAACCACCTGCATCTATCCACTTCCTGCATGTCTCACTAGTTCATCACTCCATCTAGTGGGGGGTCGCCCTACACTTCGCCTACCGGTACGAGGCTGCCACTCGAGAACATTTCTCCCCCATCGTCTGTACGCACGTTGCACGTTGCTCTTAATGTCTCAATGTCACAGTGTGACACAGAGTGAGGTAATTTTTTATACCTGCGCACTATACATGATAGATCCGTGCTGCAGCTATATTGGTAGTATAGTTGTAGCAAGAATGGGTCGGCTCGACCACGCTCTCACAGAATACAAGCGTAGAATAGCAGCTTAACATTACCGTGTTTCGTATGGTGAGTGTAGAGAACCGGAGACTCTTTCTATTCTAGGAAGGGAGGCATTCCTTCTTAGTCAACTTTGCTTCAAACTGCGGTTCTAACGCGTCTGCATTTTGATTCTTTATTGAGGATATGGGTTACAGCAACTACAAGCCATCGGGTGGACTGTGTGCTCGTTTGTCACCCTATCCTACAAAAAAAAATATGACGACAGACCTTAACACCCAATTAATGGTAGCGAAATAAAAGTTGAAGTTACAGCCTATATCACACCAGTGGGCACAGGCTTTCTATCATCTCTTAGACCGTTAGACAATTACTCCAACGCACTTCTCTAGGGTACAGTGTAGTGGCGGTGTAAGGATATCCACTAACCCATATCATTCCGTGGGTGTCGTAAGAGGCGACAGAGGGACATTGAAATAGGAGATTGGCAGCAGCATCTTCCTGATAACTCAAAATAATAAAAAACTGCGGTTGCCAACTCGTCCGATAAGCGTGAAAACTAAGGCAAATACCTTCTGAGAGAAAATCTATGGCGTAGGTCTATGTTTAACAGTGGACTTTTATAGGCTATAATGGATGAATTATTCCACCGCGTAGCTCCAGTGCGAGTTTGGATTTAATTTTATTAATTGAACTATTGAAATTAGGATGTCTTTTTTATTTCAATAGCCTCGCCCATCATCCTTGGTAGGAATCGGTGTTCTTTTGCGAGGATTTGTGGTCTATCAAATCTAATGTAATGAGAGGGACGATCTTGAACATGTTCCGGGAAGTCTGCAGTGTATAAATTAAAAATTAAAATTAAACACGATAAAATCCGTAAAAATTAGTTTCATTTAATGTGTAGTCTTCGCGTAAATATAAGAAATCATTAATATTAACACTTTCACTGTCCCATTTTCAGACACACTAGTAAGGCAATAGCAATGACATATACATATACAGGGTTATTTTACAATATACAATATACAAAGTCCAAAATAAGTGATATAGGCGAATAGTGAAGAAAAAAAAGTAACAAAAATTAAACATACTGTCCTTTTTCTGCCGACTTCCAAAAAGGAGACGGTACTCAATTTGACTGTTTGTTTTTTTTATATGTGTTACCTCATAGCTTTTAACTGGGTGAACCGATTTCGATGATTCTTTTTTATTTGAAAGCTAGTACTTCTCGTGTGGTCCCATATGAATTTGATCAAAGTCAGACCAATAGTTTTTGAGTTATTCTTAATAACTAATATTGAAGTCGGCTGTAAAAAAAAAATATTTTAAATTATATCTTTTAAATTCAGAATGCGTTGTAATGCATTATTTTAACTGAATGTTATCATGAATATCTAACACCTACTATTTTACTCGCACGCGCACATTCGTAAGGGTCGATCGGTCGGCAAAAACCTTATAGTAACTACATACATACGTATCGCAAAAACGTTGTGAATTGAATCGCACACAAAGGATCGCGCGTACGCGTATTTGTTGCCCATAAATCGCATTCAAGTTTAGATAATTTAAAAATAAAATAAGAAGGCATATTTATATATTTGAACTGTATAAAAATTCGCTATTCTTTGAAGAATAATTGTATAATTACACGGGACAGTGAAAGGGTTAATGGTGCCATCGAGAATCGAAGCCGGGTTGTTGTGCAATTAGCGGTACCCCTTAGCTACCACGATGCTTGGCAGTGAATCCTTCTACTTTAATTCTCATAGATACTCTATATATTATAGATTCTTAATCATAGATAGATAATTTATCTACAAGCCAGAGTAAGTACCAGGTTGGCTTTATCCTCGTTTGTCAATGACAAATATGAAAAAAGTGTGTGTGTGTACTTATGTACACACGGAGGAAGTTACTACTTCTTTAGCGTAAGAAAACAAAAAAACTTGAGAGACAATTACCCACTGAAGTTGTCGCTTTTAGGTGTCAGTGTGCGAGCGCATCGTAACAACTTCATGGTGTCGTTTTTAGGTGTCGGTGTGCGCGCGCATCGTAAAAATTCACTCTCATAATTTTTCCCAAACGCCCCAAAAGAAGTATAACTTCAAAAATATATTGTTGATCTTCTTGACTACTTTACTCAATAAGCATACTATACAAGATAAATAAAATCTTATCAAATAACAAAGTACTGCTTATGAGTTATAATCTGCTTAGGGACAACTTTAATCAAACAATGAAAATCTTCTCCCTATAGGCCTGACGCTTGACGGCGAAGTTTCACAAACAGTAAACTTAATTAGCCCGTTGTCACCTTTTATTGCATTATTCTTGCTTCTTAAACTCGATCAAAACAATTTTAATAGAGGTTGACTCGTAAAGAATGACTCACGTATTAAACCCGCCTATTTTCACCATTCTAGATACATAAGTAACGTCACGTCAGTAATCATCGAGGAGGTAGGCAGAATCAGAATCCAAGAGCAGCAAGCTACTCAGACTACGTTAAGCAAATAAATGGATATTAATGTTCCATAAGCCGCATTTTACGTAATGGTAATAGTAATCCACGACTTTTTTTGCCACCAGGGCGGTATCACTTAAAAATGAGATGTAATATTTGACAGATTCCATAGCGGCGAAGTTAATTTGTTCGAAAAATGTATGTTTTTGTACTTTTGGTTATATTTTATATAATTTAGATTAAAAATAAATAAACCAATCCGCAGATATTCATAAAAGTAGAAAAATCAAAGTAAGAGCTAAAATGTGCAAAGAATTAAAGAGCAAATCACTGTGGCGCTGTTTTGTGTATTAATAATATAAGACTCAAGAAACTGATAAACTTTTATTTAAAACTAACTTCATAATTAAATGACATTGCAAACAAAATAATTCACCTCAGTGTCAACTAGCGACATCTGGTGAACGGAAGAATATTATCCCTCATTAACACAGTTGGTATATTCTTTTTTAGTATAAGTCCCACATAATCACGTAACCTATGAGTTTCAGACCAACATGGTACTTACACCATTCTGTTTATATGTATTTATATATACAAAAATTTTCATTCAACATAGATTACGTTACAAGTAATTTTAATTGAAAGTCAGTTTTATATTTTTATCACTGGTTCAGAAAAAACTTCTATCCTGGAAAGAACCAGCATGAAACCCAGCGGAAATTTTACTGGTTTATACTGTATACGTAGTTGATAGAAATAATAATAATCAAATAATGGAATAAAATTTTTTACATGGTAGTGTCCTTAGTGTACTATAGTAATGGTGGTGTAAGAATATCCACTATTATACACAATAATACTCCATATCATCCCGTGAGTGTCGTAAGAGGTGACAGAGGAGAAACAAATTGAGAGATGGACAGCACCGTCTTTCTAATAACGACTAAAAATAAAAAATAAAATACTGCTGTTGCTAACCGGCTTGCCAAGCAACTATGGCAAATATCCACCCTATGAGGCAATCTATGGAGTAGTATGCCTGTCGTGGACGGTGTTTTAGTCATGCACGCCGAACGTCCGCCCCACTGCTCGCACATTATTTACACTAAATCATACAGTACACGTAGTTTCTCTGCGTGATAGACTTAGTAATGGAACCATCCACCGTAGAACCAGAGTAGCTCAACGGATAGTAATATGAAGCGAAGAACCGACCACCGATGGAGAGGGAAGGATTTTAGTGGCAGTTTCGTACCGGTAAGCAATGTTTAGGGCAACGTACCACAAGATGGTAAGACATGTACGAAGACGATGGATACAGGTGGCTCAGGATTAGGCTTTGTAGCATTTCTTGGAAGACGCCTATGTTCAGCAGTGGACTTGGTATGGGTTGTGATGATGCTGATGATGTTACAGTATGCAATAAAGAGAAAAATAACCTAATACAATTATCATCATTTCCTGACACCATAGGCAACACGGATGGGACACAGTAACAGCCTTCTCACAAAACGAAGAGATATACTCCCTGGCAGTTAATGAGCTGGTAACGCAGTTGGAAGCCGCGAACATCACCTGCGCTGCCTCTATCACCTTCGCAGAGTCTGACTTCAAAGAACAACTTCAACAGTTGAAGGTAAATTATTCTAAAGGGTTTTATATAATAAAATAAATAGGAACTGCTTGCAGATCAACTGATGGTAAGTGACCAGTGTCGCCTATGAACTTTTTTTATAAAAAAATTGTGGCGAACGAACTTACAGTCGAACTGAATGTAAATAGCTACTGCAATCCACGAACCAACTTCAAACATAGGAGGCTACGGATGTTTTGTCACATCTGAGGACTAAGATGGAATGCCTTTCAGCCTGTAATGAAACTTGCTCCCTACACCAGCAGACTAAAACACAGCGGTGCACGCACTAATGCTTAACGATAGAAATAGGTAAGAGGGTAGAATCTACCCAAACGCAATTCTAAGCATAAAAGTGGTCCTACTAGTAAAACATACACAACACCAAGAAAATGTTAGCTGCATGTCTAACGCATGCACTTAGAGAAATAGGTTGATAGATTCTATGAGCATACCAACACTACTAAAGTATTTTCTTTGCAGAAATCAGATATTCGAATAATAATCGGCAGCTTTTCGCAAGAGATGGTGCCGAAGATATTTTGCGAGGTGAGTTGGATTCCACGTACTAACACACACAAAGTATACGTAGCGGCACGAGTCGTGAGCACAGCCTTAACATATCGATATGGTTATATGTATCTTTGTTGTAGTACGAGAGCGTGCGGTGGGACGGTGAACACCCTTTCACGTGATTGGTCCGTTACTAAATCTTCGTCACTCATTGGATATTCACGTGACATTCGCCTGCAGTATGTTGGCTAGAAAATTACATGCGCAAATGCTGTCACTTGATGCTCATGACTTACGAGTCGTGAGCATCAAGTGACAGCATAAATAGTGGTACGCCACTATTTATGCTACTCGTATGATACAAAGATTTCTGTGTATACTACTAGACGGGCTCTGCGGCCTACTAAGTTACGATTAATTTTTCGTAACTTCTTCAGTCGACAGCAAGTGTGTGAGAAGAATAGTTCTTTGTTTTGTAAATCGCGAACATTGTTTTCAACAATCTTACGTTGATTTTGTTTAATGTGACTAAGAAGATGCTGTCATTACTCATTATTTATGTGCGGACTTGGTCAATGTAAATGGAAGTTTACATCAGGTATGTATGTAACTTTATTTTGTATTTGCCTAAAGATAGTAACTGCGGTAAATGAAAAAATTACTGCGTGGCATATTTAGCGTGGTCTACAGCTGTAACAGCGTGCGTGTGCGTGTTGCCAGTGATGACTTACGGATCTAAGACGTGGTCTTTCACTGCTGGCCGTATGAGGAAGCTCAAGGTCACTCAGCGAGCTATGAAGAGGGCTATGTTCGGGGTGTCTCTGCGTGATAAACTTAGAAATGAGGATATCCGCAGTAGAACCAGAGTAACCGACATAGCCCAACGGATTAGTAAGCTGAAGTGGCAGTGGGCCGGCCATATGGCTCGAAGAACCGACAACCGATGTGGAAGAAAGGTTCTCGATTGGCAGCCTCGTACCGGTAGGCGAAATGTAAGGCGACCCCCCACTAGATGGAGTGACGACCTGGTGAGACATGCAGGTAGTCGATGGATGCAGGTGGCTCAGGACCGTGCTTTGTGGCATTCCTTGGGGGAGGCCTATGTTCAGCAGTGGACTTGTGAAAGGCTGTAATGATGATGATGATGACAGCTGTAACAATTTTTTTATTCTGGATTACCAGTGTAGTGGCACTGTGGTATACATTGAAGTCTTTGTGTACATTTGCAAATACTGTCACTTGGTGCTCACGACTCGCACCGCTATTTAGTACGATACTATAAAGACACTGAGATGTTGTCGGGTCGAGATCGCAGGCGTTCCGACTGGGCATGTACGGCGCGGAGTACGCCTGGCTTGTGGCGGGCGCGCCGCCGCGTCTCCGCGTTGCCGCGCCTTGCGCGCGTGCACAGCTGGCGCGCGCGCTCGAGGGGCTCGTGTCCGTCACTGCGCACCGGGGGATTGCGGGGGACGTGGTCTCGTTTTCTGGACTGGTGAGAACCCTTGCTATTAAGTGGAGGTATATTAATGTCCTACAGGATGTGGTCTCTTCTTCTTTTTTTTACTTATTATAAGCCAGTGCTAACCACAAGAGGTGGGTAGGTGGCACCTAGTGGTAAGTGGTGAATAAGCCCTTGATATTAAATCGAAATGTCTTAGCGTAACAAAAGTCTCTTCACTCTTGCTTTGAAGACACCCAGATTGTATTCGGACGGAAAGACTAACACCGGCAAATTCCACGCAATTGCTGTACGCATTACTAAAGACGAAGCGAACTGTTTTGTTTTGAGACCCGCCGACTGCCTGGTAGTCCGATGATAGAAAGGAGAGAGAGAAATTAAAGCATGTAATTCCTGTTCACACTTTTCTGGACTGATTAGTACCCTAGCTATTTAGAGGGGTGTAATAATACCCACTCAAGGCTATCGTCTCGTTTTCTGGACTGGTGAGTACTCTTAGTGTGTATTGGGGGTGTTATAACATCTACTGGATGTGGTTTCTTTTTTTGGACTGATCAGTACATTTGCTGTACCCCATATAGTATGGTGGGTGTCGTAAGAGGCGACGAAAGTTAACTGAAATAGAAGATGGGCAGCAGCGTCTATCTGCCAACAACTAAAAATATTAAAGAAACTGCTGTTGACAAACCGCCCGCCTATCGTGGTAATTATGGCACAATCCTTCCCTATGAGGAAATCTATGGAGAAGCGTATTTTGTGTATTTTCAGCTGTTGACTTTTCACAAACTGTAATAAATTATGAATATATAAAGTACGGAACCAGACTTTAAAGTGTATGCGTAAATATGCAAATGTGTAATGCAATGTGAGATTAAATTCTGTTGAGAAGTACCACTCAAATAATTGTAGGATGCAAAATAAAACACTGTTAACTGTAACGCCTACTGAATTTATTATAAAAGAATACGACGTAGTAAAATTACGTCAATCACGAGCACGTGCACTCGTACAGTTGAACAGATAGACAGATAGTATCCACAAACTCTTTTCCCGGATCTGGATGTTTATTCAAATGCAATTTATTCATGTATTAGCGATCCGCCCCCACTTTCCATGGTTGATTTCTGGATCTCAACAACAACGCCACCTACCGGGTCCAATAGTGGATCTAAACTATTCTCTAATCAACTTAATCACACACAAAAAAAATGATCAAAATCGGTACAGTCGTTTAGGAAGAGTTCAGTCACATAAACACGGACAGAAGAATTATATGAAATATACTATGTATGTATTGTAAATAAACCTTCCTCTTGAATCATTCTGAAGAATGCATCAAAGTCCGTTGCGTATTTTGAAGGATCTAAGCTTAGAGACGGCGGAAACCAACTTTGTTATATACTATATAGAGAAGAGAAAAGACCTCAACGATACGTGTAGAGTGGCACTTAAATATAATTATTAAACACTTGAAGGCTCAAAATTACGAAACTCTCATTACATACATTGTTTCGCCATATTACAGACAAATGAAATGTTCCACCGTGAGATGGAAAGGGCGGGAGTCCCAGTTTCTCCCTTCGCTCCTCACACGTACGACGCAGTGTGGGCTATCGCGTTGAGCCTCAGCAAGGCAGAGCTGCTATGGAGGAGTTCAGAGACTCTAAACAACACGTCGAGTAAAAGTTCAAGGCTTGGTCTGGGGCAATTCGATTATGATCGGAAGGATATGGCAGAGGAATTTTTGAACCAATTTGCTAATCTCAGCTTTCTTGGAGTATCTGTGAGTATGCTCTAAATAAAAATTTCCTGTTTATTTTTAGTGAAGTAAATTTCTGACTTTAAGCTATTGAATATGGGGAAATCTTAATACATACCCGGCTGTTTTACGGGAAGCAGACAGGTCACTTCGAACTCTTACCGTCTAAACTGGCTGGCCTCGTAGTCAACGAGGAGTAATGGGATCTCATAGAGAATACGACTGCGGCCTCTTCCTGGTCCGTCCTGGGGATACTTAAGAACCCCTGGGTCCGTACAAAGTTGTTACGATGATTCAATACAAGGTCTAGTAATCGTCCTTCTCGAGTGGCCTACGGTCACTCTGACCAATTATCGGTTAATCTGTTAATCTGAACAATCTGATCACTAGGTCAGATTACTTTGCTACCACGTAGTACATCATCATCATCATCATCATTAACAACAGCCATTTTTTAAGTTCAGTGCTGGACATAGGCCATTTTTCACGTAGTAGAACCACGCTCCTGCTATATTGGCTGTAGCACAAATACGAACTATTCTCTCTCTCTCTTTCTCTCTTTCTTTCTCTATCTCTTTCTCTCTCTTTTTTACTTTCGCGAATACCAGCGTAAAATAGCAGCTTAATGCTACGGTATTTTATATGGTGAGTGTAAAGAACCGAATACTCTTTAACGAGGCATTCCATCTTAGTCCTCAGGGGTGATAACGCATCTGCATTTTGATTCTTAACCGAAGGTGGATATAAGAGCCTATGGGCATCATACTGGTGCCAGATTGATGACCATCTGATGGTAGATTTTATGGTCGTCTGACACCCTCAATAGTATAAAACTTGTAACGACTATTGAATGACCCTATGTTTGTGAATATATTTAAAACACTGACATTAATAATATATAATTTTTAAGTTAATAAACAACGAAGAATGTCGGCTAAATAGTTACATCAAAAACTTTATTCTTAATTAATTTTACCTTCAAATTTACATGAGACCACACCCCAAATATAATCTATTAAAAAAGAATCATAGATATCGACAAACATATCATATAAAATACAAACAAAAAGAAAAGCAAACATACAACCGAATTGAAACCCTTTTGAAATTGTCTAAAAATCGTGCCGAAACAAACGGCGACTTCTAAAGAAAAAGCTTTTGAGATAAAACACTATACTTTCATAAAATTATTCTGTAAATTTGCTTGAACAAAACGCCCTGAATACATAATGAGGGATGTTTTCAGGGACCCGTGTCCTTCAACGGCGCTGATAGGATCGGGATGTCGGCTTTTTATCAAATACAAGGTATGTTTTATGTAACGTTGTCATTAATATGGATTATATTTTAGATAAATATACCGCTAAGCCTTATAGAAATTATGAATTATAAATATGGGTGCATGTTCTTACGTACATTAGGAGTTGTAACTCCGTGATTACAAAATAATAGTTTATATTCAAATATTTTATTATAATAAAGTTTTTCTATTCTAATGATGTTTGCATTTGTGTGTATCTTATGTGCCCAAATTTAAAGATGATATTACCAATAATCGTTAAAGAGTTCCCTCATAATATGACAATAATTTCGTTTTAAAATCTACAATCACATTTTGAAAACGATAGCATAACAGTAAGGAATAATAAAATGAAAAAAAATAAAAAATAAAATATGACCGTAGTTGGAAAGGTAGGTCCTCATTTAGATTACGTTTTTTTATCCAATTTCAACGGGAGTATAACATTTGAAGACAATGATTATAAAGTATATTATCCTCTACCCCATTTTTTATCGCGGAGGAGACGTAAGAGGCGACAGAGGGAAACTGAAACAAGAGGATGAGGAGCAGCATTTTTCTGATAACAACTTTAAATAATGAAAACTGCGGTTAAAAAGCCACATGGGAAGCGTGCCAACTAAGGCGAAATTCCCCCTATGAAGCAATCTATGGGGAATGCCTATGTTGAGAACTTTAATACTATGTAATGGATGGATAAAACTTTTTTTTTATAGGATAAGGGTGACTAACGAGCACACAGTCCACCTGATGGTAAGTGGTTGCTGCGGCCCATAGACATCTACATCTATCCTCTATTACAAATCAAAATGTAGATGCGTTGTCATCCGTGAGGACTAAGATGGAATGCCTCATTTCCAATAAAAATGGCCTCCGGCCACCTGCACTCACCAAGCGAAACGCAGAGGTAAACCTCTACTTCACGCTGGTTTTCTGTGAGGTCGTGGTACCACCCCGGTTCGAGCCGGCCCATCCGTGCGACAGCAAAAGCTGCCGCGTGGCTCTACCACTGTTGTTAACGTACTGTTAATTAAACATAAAAGACAACAGCATCAACAAAGCCAACAGGTTAATTATAAATGTATAAATGAATTAAATATACTTTCAAAAACACCGGTAAACAAGAAAATACATTAATTATACAAAGGTAAGATTGGCAGCCTTATTGCCTAAAAGCGATATCTACCAATCCATTGATGTGTGATAAAAATGTACGCAATTAATCATTAATTAAATTTTTCCTTTGTTTACATATTTATATTTCAATTTCTTTGTGCCGAAAGTACTTGTATGCAATATCACTATTAGTGAAAAAAATATAGCAGCAAGAGTGCTCCATTTTTATATAATGTTGGTAACACAATAACCTCCATAGGTGGTCGTCCGAAAACAGTGGCGCTGTACACTCACGGCCGCGAGATGACGTGTCCGGAATGCTCGCGACCACACTGGGCGGGGGGAATTCCTGCGGCCAGAAGAGTGTTGGTGTTACGGGTGGACTCTGTATGGGCTCCGGCGAGGCTGGCGGTCGCCGTATTGGCGGCTGCTGGTGTTGCTCTGGCGTTGGCTTTTCTCGCTTTCAACTTGCATTATAGTAAACGGAGGTAAGAAGACCTTCAACAAGTCTCTTCACGGACAGAAAGTATTTTATCTAGGACATGCAAATGCCTTGTTTCGTGCGGGATCGAACCCACGTTTCGCAGCGCTATACTGGACGTCAAAGTTTATTCATTGTTTATTCATATAGATATATAATAATTGTAATTTTTATTTCAGACCATGAGTCCATATTATATTGTTGGTAATGTTGTTAGTAACCACCAACCAACTGAAAGGGTCCAACAGACAGAGCTTAGTCATTCATTGACATTCTACCCCGAAACATAAATCACACCACGTTGGGTTCGGGTACTACGTGGTGGATGTGACCCCCGTGAAGGAGTGTCTCACGAGAGCGTCTGTTGCCCTTTCTGAAAAGAAAGGTTACACGACTAAGATTACGGGTCCTCTTGAAGTGGTCCTGGTCTCGTCGTCCTTTACGATGTGGACTGTATTCATAGCTGGTGAAAGATACTTTAGGAAATAAAACAGCGATTTATCTTCAAAATTTTCCCATAAGAGTGCAATGTTGACTTTCACTAATTTCCTATCATTTTCCTATGCACTTTTCTTTAAAATGATGTACTCGTATAACTATTTACAACATTAATAAACTATATTAGTGTTATAAGTAGTTACACATTATTTTAATCCTATGGCTATGCCCACCCAGTGATTCTGTATGGGACACTCATATCTTACAGATATCTAAGGATGCTTGACGATGTCTTTCTTCTTTTCTTCTTTACTTCATTAACCAGGAAACAGTAATAGGATTAATTTTATTGAAAAAGGATGACAAACGAGCACACAGTCCACATGATGGTAAGTAAATGATGTGACCCATATACATCTACATTTATCCTCAATTAAAAATCAAAATGTAGATGAATTGTCACCCCTGAGGACTGAGACGGAATGGTATGCGGTTCTCTACACCCACCATACGAAACAAATCTGCATCAAGCTGCTATTTTACGCTGGTATTCTGTGAGAGCGTAGTCCTACCCCGGTCTAGCGGACCCATTCGTACACATTGGTAAGGTAATTAATCATTTGCGCTACTTATTTATGAATAAAAATTTACAGGTAAATGTTAAAAAGTCTAAAAGTCCTGAAAATAACACCAAATAAAAAACGTGAGAATTACAATAATATGTTATGATATATTATTATATTAATAACACAAAGTTATTAATATAATAGCACAAAAGTGAGGAAAAATAACGTCCATTATGCGAAGCGCCTGGTGTTGCGATTTCACAAATCACCAAACCTATTTGTCATACTTATAAAAGAAAAATGAGTGCGTGTAACCTTAACGCGCGGTTGAAGTTAATACCTACTTATTTTTAACCCTCGACGAAAACAGAAGGGTGTTATATGTTTGTATTTGTGTATCTGTGTCTATTTCACGATGAATTTTTGTCAACCCCTTATTAGAAAAAAATCCCCAAAGAGTACCTATCTTTGTCATATTTTGCAAAATTTCTCCAAAACGGCACAAGCTTTTTAAATAGTTCTTACACTAAAAAAAGGTCTTATAAATATTAATATTTTTAATTGAGAGTTTTATTTTTATTACCCGTTTTATAAGAGAATATATCATTTTTCCCTGAAATTGAATATATTTACGCGAGCGCGCATGCTCCGTCGCCATGTAAGCTCCGTCACAGTCCGTTTCCGGACATCGTCGAGGGTGGACCGCACGTCGGTGTTGGAGCGACTTCGTTCAAATATATATTAGTTTTTTAAAAGTTTATACTCAATTATAAATATTTTTATGACTAGAAATACTTAATTTAGTTAACATCTGTACACTGGTAACTGTAAATATTATTTTCTAAATAAATGAATTTTTAAAGTGCCCAAAGAAGAAGAAATTTTTGCGGCGACGTTGATTAGTGAAATTGAAAAATGCATTTTTATATAATTTAGACGTGGAACGACGAACATGCTCTCGTTACTTAGATTGCGATAGTTTTTAATACCTATGTAATTTTATTGTTGCATATTTTTATTAATTAGTTGATAATGAATTTTATAATTATGTATTACAATAAAACGCTGTTTTTATAAGTATGTCTTTATAAAATGTTATTGGGGAGAGAAATAAAGATACAGATACTTACATTTAGGTACACTGTTATCAAATTAAATCAAACAATTTAAATAAATAACAGAATGGTGCTTACCTAAGTATAAATAACTATATAAAGACATTCTTGGGTTTATGGTTTTTTTTTGTTAGACAAACTATCATCTAAAAAATGTAAAAATTTTAAATTGGAGAGGGGTTTCTCTACGTGATAAAGTTAGAAATGAAGGAATTTGCATTAGAACCAGAGTAACTGACATAGCTCAACGGAATATTACAGTGAAATGGCAATGAGCTAGCTATATAACTTGGAAAACATATAAAAAATAGGAAGAAAGGTCCTCGAGTGGCAACCTCGTACAGGTAAGCGAATTAGTACTCAACCTTTATTCCTCTTCACGTATTCTCATATGCTTTTCTTCACACACACACACACACACACACACACACACACACACACACACACACACACACACACACACACACACGTACGCACGAACGCGCAAGCACGCACGCGCATACACACACACACACACACACACACACACACACAAATAGGTCGCAAATAATACTTACCTAGTACTATTACTAATAATACTTACCGATGGGATTGCAGTTGCTGGGTAATTGTAGTAAAAAAAAATACCCTGTAAAAGTTTGCATTTAGATTTAATTTTTCTAACCAACCATAAAAATATGATGAGAATATGTATATAAGTATAAAGGTTCCCTCACACGGAACAGTAATAATATAATATTATATCTTCCATTATCTCTGAAATCCGAGGTATGTTCATATTAAGAGGCTGAATAGAGCCACATTAAAATGCATGGGGATGGTTTTGTAATTTCACGTCATTATGGAAAAAAAATTGTACGTATTTCAGGTGGCGGTTTGCAAAACACGATTCCACAAAAATTTACTCAATAGAAAATAATTGCAAAGTTGCTTCTAAAAATACTTAAATTTTCAACGTCAATTTTTTTTACGTGGTAGAGCCATGCTACAGCTATATTTATTAGGTATAGTTGTAGCACGAATGGCTCGGCTCGACCATGGCAGGGCCACGCTCTCACGGAATAACATGTAAAATAGCAGTTTAACCCTGCTGTGTTTCGTATGGTGCATCTACATTTTGATACGTAATCGAGAATAGATGTAGATGTGTATGGGCCGTAGCAACCACTTACCATCAGGTGGACTGTGTGCTCGTTTGTCACCCTTATTCTATTTAAAAAAAACTTTCAGAGATTTCAGTAAAATAATGTTAAGTATTGTAAGCACTCGTACAATTATGTCTCATGTTAATAAAGCTATTGGGCTATTTTGATTTGTAATAAAGTGATTTTACTTTATAGGTTAAATAATTTATATCAAGAACCGTTTTTCTGTCACTCCTATTGAATTTGACAGTGCTTGTTGAAATTTAGCATCTTTAGATGGATCAGAATCGCCCGCTGATCCGGCTGTTAGATATTGCAAAAATAATCGAAAATATTTATTTTTACTTTCATGCCCAAGACTACCTTGTTTTATTTTATTACGGTCAAATAATATTGATTAGGTTATAAAGCAAGTATTTTTGTAAATGTTTTGTATGTAAATGTAAATGTTTTCATTATTTTGTTATTCTATTGTTTACAGTTATTATCACATCTTAGCTTTACACCAAGAATTACATTAGAAATTCTTGATGGGATGCGATGTAACGCGCATACATTATTTTTATCAAGAACTATAGTACATATATATTTCTTTTTTTTTTACCAGTAGAGTTTCAACAAAATCTTAAAAGTTCAATGAAATAAAAAAATGCCAATAATTATATAATTTCAAGTCAGTGTTTTACATTTAAAGATCAGTTATAAAGAGCCAATGTTATTATTTTCATTTTGATTAATTTAATTCGAAACTAAAATAAATGTGAAAGGGCTTTTATCTGCAGTAATTATTTTCATCAAAAATAACATAGACTTATAAAAGTCATATACACGGTCAATCATAGTGAAAATTATCAATTGTACTACAGAATATTTAAAAGACTATTTCCAGTATAATGACCCGAATATTATCATTAATGTTTGACTGGCACACTTAAAAGTTTTATCACATGGCTAAATGATTGACATTTATATTATGATAAGGTCATGCTTTTCTATAAAAAGTTGCAAGAAATTTTAATTCCCGGCCCTATTATTGGTTTGTTTTACTTTTTACTTAATTAGTGAAAAACAAAATGGACTGATCTAAAAGTTTACTTTCTTGTGTAAAAAGTGCTATTTAGAATTTTATGCAAATGATAATTAAAGTTTCTATGTAAATAAGTGTAACATAGCGGGTATATTATATTCAATGGTAGCGGCCATCCGTATTTGCAAAGCCAGCATCATTTTCTGTACAGAAACCGGCAAAGTGTTGCTCAAGGCACTATAAACAAAGCAGCTGATAAAATGTTACACTCATAACTGTTAACAAAAACTGTTTTCGCAAATGGTCTTATAGATAATAATAACTATTCCGCCGTGTTAGGTGCAGTAGCTATTATTAGAAGGAGAAGAGGTAAAATTTTGTTTTAGAAATGCGCAATTGTTTTGTCTGCAATTGAGCATAAAATAAAAAATAACTTCAGCCAAAGAGCATAACTGGCATTATACTCAGGCCCATCAATTGGTATGGAAAAAAATAATTTTACCAGGTTTCAAAAAATCAATAAAAATTCAAAAAACATAAATATTAAAATCAAAAAATGTATATATGTATGTCTATACATACATATAATGATTTATGGCCGCTTAGTAACTGACGGTGACTCACTATAACATCCTACAGTCACGCCGAAACTAAGAGGAGAGAATCACTGTAGAAAAGGTAATAATTTATTGCGGAAATTTTGTGATAAAATTTAA